CAACCGTCAGCCGCGAACTACACTATACATTTCTCCCTAGGGCGGAGTAGGAGTGGCATTTGAAGGTGGCTTAGAATGGGTTACTCGTGAGATATTTCAGTTTGAAGACAACTGTCATCTTTTTAAGTGTTGGACAGAGACATGACACAATTGTGTCGAAATGAAAATGTCTAAATGAAACAGCCGCCGCCACATCTAGTTGAAGTACGTAGTCACGCCTTCCACATCTCAGATATTTCAAGTGTATATTCCTGCGACTGTGATTGCGGTTTAGCCACAAAAACGAGGTGTGAATAGCTAATTCCGGATCGCGGTATTGCGAGCACTAGCAAAATATTTCCTAGTTAGTTTACTAGACCGACACCGGCACAGAGAACGTTAGAGGATTTGGGGAACGCCAACGCAGCGAGGGTCAACGCGCCACAGCCACGGCACGCCATCGCGTTGTGATCATTTCCTGAAAAACCACCCCCCTAATTCGATCCCCGAATACGACCTCCCCTCTCCATGCTGCGTACTTCGTTCCTAGATTTTCCCACTAACTTTTTTTCCATTTTTTCCCAAAGGTTTCCATTTTTTCAGTCAAAAATTTTCACTTTTCCGTCGAGCGGGGAGGGGGATATACCCAATGTGAAACAGGAAAACTTCTCACTCAGATTCTCAAAGGGAAGGATGGTAGGTCGAAGTGGCCATTTGAAATGAAATGTATACCGGCTGGAAGGTCTTCGGACGGGAATTACGAAACCGTCTTCCATATCTGCTGCGGACCTCCCAGAAAGAAGTTACGGAGCTTTTTTGGGGAGACACTACAAATTGGCGGCGTAAGGCTGACGAGATCGTGGCAGCATGGCCGAGTGGATACGTCGTAGGGCTCACGGATGCGTGGTCGAGGGTTTGGATCCTTGATGCGTGTGCTCTTTTGCATTTTTTCGAAAGTGGCCCCTGTGCACTTCAAAGCTATTTTGTATAACTCTGGTGCCTGATAATGTCGTGATGTAATGATTCTGAACTGATGGAGCCATTGCGAACCATTCCATAGAGATCACTTCTGGCTGTTGTCTTCTTTTTTGATTTGAAAAGCATACACAACAAAAGTGCATTCCAAAGGAAGATTTTGCCTTCAAATGACTTTATTCTCCAAACGACATGACTGGAAAACGAATCCGACGCACGAAGTTGTGCACGAAGATGAGTATAGTGGGGAAAATGCTTCCATATGAAGTGGCGTTGATGTGACAATCAAGATCGCGATGGGCAAGAGCTTCATTCACCACTCACATAATGTTGAATTATGTCTATCTCAAAGTGTTTTCGTATCTGCTGGAAGTTTTCGGCTCGTATGACAATCTTTTCAGCCGGAGGTGATCTCCATGAAATCGTTCGCAATGGCTCCATCAGTTCAGAAACACTACGTCACGACATTATCAGGCACCAGAGTTATACAAAATAGCTTTGAAGTGCACAGGGGCCACTTTCGAAAAAATGCAAAAGCACACACGCATCAAGGATCCAAACCCTCGACCACGCATCCGTGAGCCCTACGACGTATCCACTCGGCCATGCTGCCACGATCTCGTCAGCCTTACGCCGCCAATTTGTAGTGTATTCTCCCCCTAAAAAGCTCCGTAACTTCTTTCTGGGAGGTCCGCAGCAGATATGGAAGACGGTTTCGTAATTCCCGTCCGAAGACCTTTCAGCCGGTATACATTTCATTTCAAATGGCCACTTCGACCTACCATCCTTCCCTTGTTAGATTCTCCCTAACCTCCTACCAGGTTTTCCCAAATTGCCCGAAAAGTTTTTGGAAGGGGGGGGGGGGGAGATCGTCAGGATTTAACTATCATTTTCAACTATCGGTATAGTTGTATGATCTTTGACAGACCCTCTCCCAACAACGACCAAATACGACCTCCCCTTTATAGCGTCCACGAAACAAGAGAAATCAATTTTCGAAAAAATTCTCAGACCAAATACGACCCCCTCCCTCCCTTTCCTCGCGGTCAAATACGACCCTCCCCTTAGCACTGCTGCGGCCAGGGCACGCCATCTTTGTGATCACCACAAAGATGGCGTGGCCTGGCCGCAGCACTGCTAACGGTATGGGTCCTGGTGCGAATACTGCGTACCTCAACCCGCTTTCAACGCCTGTTTCGCCGCACTTACCGCGATTTGGAAACTACGCTTCACACCCACCTCAACGAATATGCTTGCTTCATTCTTAGAAACGTTAGATGAATTAGCCCACTAACGAAGATTTTTTTTTCAGGGTACTCCTCTCAGAGCAGCAATGAAACCGGCGACACCTATGCCAAAGCCAACGGTACGATTCTTTAGGAAATTTTGATCTGGTTCAACGATTCCGCGAGCCGCAACTGGCTTTGCTCTAGGTTCACATCATAGCAGAAGCGTATAATCAGGGAACATTGCCGTGTGGCGGAACCCATTAAATCGGCACGAATGGTGTCGTATTTGGCGTGGATCTAAACCTTTTCAATTATTGGGTTTTCCCGCTGACGCTCAGAAGTTCAAACGTTTTCGAGGATGCGCTATACCGCGCGACTCGACGATCGATGCGCATGCTTTCGATTGCATCGAACGCGCGATCGAAGCGCTGCCGTCGCGAAGTCTGAACGCTGCCTAAAGTCGCAAATTGAATAATCTTAGGCTGCGTTAATACGTTACGAAGTCGTCGCTGATGTAGTCGACGTAATCAACGACAGAACAGTCGATGAGTATCGATCCGGCACACTTGCCAAACCCACGCAGTCGTTTCAATGTCTTCGATACACGCATCTAATCTTCTGTCGCCGATGACGTCGGGTCCTCCGTAAGGTACGGGAGCAACCCTAACATTCCGCTGCTGAATCGTTGAACGCACGCTTCATGAAGATCAGTTTTTGAAGATGGTAGCTTTCATTATCTTCCTTATTAGTTTGAGCGTGCTCGAGGGTACAGGCACATGTATAGTGTCAGTGCGACCCCGCAAAGGTGGGTCTCTGGGCGCTCCTCTCAAAACCTACTGCTGTGACCCTCAACCTGCTGGTTTTCCTATTTTTCCCTATTTTTTCCATCGACCGGCGAATATATAGCCCAAATGGGAAATATATATTTTGACAAGCGAAACTACTTTCAAAGCCAAATGCGTCCCCCCCAGCGACAAAATGCGGCCTTTAACGATGAGGTACATCGGTGGGACGTTACAATCACGTTGCAGCGAAGCGTAACAAAGAGGAACGTCGCTTAGCTAGTTTTAATCACATGCTTAATCACTTTGGACGTTGAATCAGTTAGGTTCCCACGCGAGCGTCACGCACATGACTCATTTGCGCCTTTTGCCGCTCTCGCCACAGAGCGGATGTAAGAGTGCGCTCATATTTTGCTTCAGTTTTGAGCGTCTGCCAGCTTTCAGCAACCATGAAAGTATATTATCGATTACCGCTGAAAATGCTGGCGGACACTCAGGTCGCTGGATCGATACTTATGCTTTCCTTGCTTAAAACGCTGACAGACGCTCGCTGCCGCAAAGTATGAACGCATTCTAAGGTCTCACACAGATCTTTAGTGTCGTCTGAAAAATTTCTTCTTTCTGATCACAAAATCATGCTAGTTTGATTTTTCACAGATTACATGCATTGATTACAGCTGCAGACAGTTAGCTCGAACCTTGCCTTTTCGGGGTCGCGGAGACGTCTATCCGAGCTATGCTCCAGTGGAAGTGCCCTCAAATCTCACTCTCCCATTCGACAGCCTGTTCTGGTAAAGTGTTCAAATCTTGTGAACCTGCTTTTAAATCGTGCGTTAATAAGAAGCTTCGGGAGAAGCAAGGTTACTCTTTATAGGAGTTCCATCGTCTCGACTTGAGTGAGGACGTCATTGAAGAGTGCAATCTTGAAGAGGACCGAGATGAAAGTCCTGTTCTCCTCCAGCAACAGGTATATCCAAAGATCTCATGAATGAGTCGGAGTGTTAGAAGTTGGCACCTCTAAACGTGTATGTACTTACTACAATGTGTTCACTGATAGTGGTGTTCGACTCTAAAAGTTTTTTCCCCTTTCTCTGTTAATTGCAGTGCCTAACGCAATGATATTTATAGTGCATTTTGATTTTCAGAATGATGTCGTCCTGTCTGAGGCAGATAACGAGGCTGCATTCTTTCAGAAAGTGAGTAGATGTTATTTTCTGGGCGTTTACAAGCTTCATGGGACGGCGCGACAGTGGCTGCTCATTTGTGCTCTCACAGTGGTCCCTTCTTTCCTTAGGTTCACCCCCAGAAGATAGCAGATGACCGGACTCGGAGTGGCATCGCCGTTTATCTCGCTTTAAGGCGGTTCTCGCGATTAAGTGTCATGGATAGTTGCTGTTAATTATGAACCACTAAGTGACTAGTGATCCCCAAAGAAGAAAAAAGCAAAGAATCTCCAAGGAACACCATAAACAAAATCGCTCCCTGACAGTCACACCGCCCTGCGGTCTCTGTGCAACCCCTGGCTCACAAATCGCTTTTTCGCATCTCCCAGTAGTAAATATCATCCAATGCAAAGAAAAGAAATGAAAAACAGCAAAAACGCTGGCGCAAAGCTAGTAACAAAAAGAAATTCTTGAAACTCTCCGTAGGAACTATGGGTTACGGTAGCGTGCATCTTTTAGTGCAGTCGAGCTTTTGCACCAAAAAATTGCATCACTGGTGATTTTTACGCGTTTTACCTTGCGAGATGGGTTGCAGTTGACTGTATGTGCTCCTAATGAATAAAAGTAATAAAGGAGAGCAGAATTACTTATGAGCACGAGCGCGGTGGCAAAAATAAATATGCCCGCCGTCCCAGCAAACAACAACGGAGCACCTCTGCGTTAGGTGTGGAAAAGACGTCCGTTGTGTGGGCGGTCCAACTGAGCGGGTGTTGGAAATAAAACTTTCGGCGGCTGTAGCACCTGCCTCAGTCGCTGTGGAGTCACAGAAGTGGGACAGTCTCTTGGTTCGGGGCTAGACACAAGGAAGGGCCACCACGAATTACTCGAGCTTGGGGGCTGTCTTCAAACCGCGTTGCGCCATTTTCTCGATATTCATTTCCGATTGCTTTCAGCTGATTTCGGATGGATGGACTGCGCTCTTCGTCTCTCGGATGTATGTCGAAGGAGGAAGATCCTGTTGAGACTCTGCGGTCCTGAAAACGAGGCCCGATAATGACGTATGACATAAACAACGGTGTTCAGTCATGGTGAGTTATGCCATTTGATAGTTTCCGTGAAACCGGGATCATCTATCCTAGACAGCTCTTACAATGTTTTAAAGTTATTGCGTGTTAACGTCGCGAGGGTCTTGAGTTATACACGAATTTCCTTTCAGAGCACCAATTGCTCTTAAAAAGAAAGCGGATTCTCACGCACTTCCAAATATGAGAGCCAAACGTGAAGAGGTATAATGAGGGCGTTCGGAAATACAGTCTGGAAGAAATGGCGAAACATTGTCGGAGGTACATGTTCAAGCAGTGACTGGATTTTATGATTGCCCTCATTTGTTGCATGTGGGTCAGGTACGATTCGCGAGTTGCAGCATTGCGCTCAAAACCAGCATATAGCTCGTAGGGGTCTAGTTGGACTCGACGCGAGCACTCTTGCGTGTGAAGATCAGATTAGGTTTATGGAATGCGATGCACTACCATAAGTTTATTGCACGGTTTATATCGAATAAGTTTTCGAAATCGGCTGTTTTTCATTCGCTTCTAAGTATTTGCATATTGGCGGCGTACTTCTGCGGCGGTCTGATCTGTTGTGCATTTGTCTGTACCTTAGATAAAAGAAGAAAGCATCCTTTTCGACGCGAGGAGTGATTCTTTGAGGGATCTTGGGTGAAATGATCTGTGACATAGTGCTGGGGTTAGGCGTTGTTTGCGGTGAGGAACGGGACAATTGCCCAGTCAACTAGCGCAAGACTAGCTTGATTTGTGGCAAATTCGGTGTGGACTCGTATCTCCGCGCATCAACATTCTTCAATTCCCAGTATTCTGATACGATTGTCCATTTGGTCTTGCCTTTTTGGTCGGAATTTTAGCCTGTCTAGCATTTTCCTGGCTTTCGATGTGATGGATCTCCTCAGATACGAGAAGCATTGAGTCTTTTTACTGCGATTGGAAAAATTACCTTAAGACTGATTTTCATGTTTGTATAACTGTGATTGAGTGAAGGGTGGCGGATATTCTTTTTTCCATGAAAGCAAATTCGGGGTTGAGTTGTTACGGGTTTCTGGTGTACTTATTCGGATTTCTCGCTTAGTTTGTATCTTGTTGGAATACTTTATATGAAGGGGAGTTCACAAGTCCGTTATATTTAGTGTATGTATTTAAAAACTGGTCGAATGTGTATTTGTCTTATTAAATGTCTTGAATCGGTGTTAAGTTGTGAGTTCAGTATTTACGGTAAAGAATAATTCACAACTGGCAGAATAATGAAGGACCTTGGAGATTTGTTCCGCCAAGCAAGTAATCCGTAACTGTCTTGCGTGCGATTTGGACGCTCGGGTCCACAGCTCGGCAAATAGTTACCACTTCCGGCCACTGCGAAGTCGGCGTGAAGAAAAATAGGCAGATTTCAACCTCTTTTATTTTTGCCCTGCAAAATAACGGCTCACACGCGGAAATACGTGTGTGCATTGTTGCCTGGAGCGTTGTAGAATCCTAGCTAGTCAACTTTTTTGCGAGCTTACGAATGTGGTTCTCGTCAGGGAGACATGATTGGTTGGGATGTTGAGTCGAGTAACGTGTTGACGTCCCCCCCTCCGGCCTTTGTCCCTCTTCATCGAGTCGAGCACACCCTTCTCCTGGCGGCCAAATAAGACCCCCCTGGTCAGGGCACATCATTAGTTGGGGATTTGGGTGGAGTCGTACGAACCCTTTTTGCGCGGCTGGGTACGACCCCCTCCCCCACTTCCCCCTCATCGAGCCCTAGGAAAATGCGACCCCTCCCACCCATCACTTCGTTCGAATTTCCCAACATCCAACTTATTACCAATTTTTTAGGAATTTTCCAAAAAAATTTCCTAGTTTTTCTTGAAAATTTTGCTATCGAGCGGAGGGAGGTACATAGTACGGCAAATACGACCTCCCCCCCTGTTGGGGATTCCGCTACAACGATGTGCCCTGTCCATAAATTTCCCATGGCGCGGGGTGGGGATATAGTACACATGAAACAAGGAAAAATCACGAAAAATCAACAACCGGGAAAAATTTTTCCCAACGCGGCAAATTCCTCTCAAAGCCACATACGACCCCCCCTCTCCCAACAACGACCAAATACGACCCCCCTCCCCAGCCGAGAAGTACGACCCCTGCGTTTCACACAACGATGCTGTACCCTGTCAGGTCGGAACCTGAGCACTAGAGTAGCAACCATGCTACCTCTCCACTCTTTCACGTCTTTTCAACACCTTTTTGAGAGGGAAGATTGGTCCACTGTGGACGTGGAATTCAGATATATTGGTGAAAGACGCCTGCACCGAAACTCCGTATTAGGGAGAGGCTGTACTAAAGGCAAAGTCCGCGATCATTCGCCATCACAGATAGCGGATTAGGGGTTTCCATATAGAAGAGGGGTATGTGACAAGAGAATCGTGATTCACCGCGCTGGTGGCGTCGCGTGCGACGTCGCGCCCGCAAATGACGATGGTTCCAGGTAGTAGATGGCGACAACAGGCAATTCAGAACCGAAAATAGTCATGAATGTCTACGATGACGGGGTCTACATGAAGTCCGGTGCTCCAATCGACAGGTTAACACGAGTTAAGAAAACGCCGCGCCCATCGCCGCGCGGGCGGAGCGGCAAATTACGATTCTCTTGCCCGTCTCCCCAGAAAAGGTGCTGAGCAATTCGATACTGAAGAAAAAATCAGGAAAAACGTGCCAGCTGCTCTGGATAGGACCGCATTACGATCCGTATTTTTACTTGCCCAAATAACTCCATCTCCAACACTGCGCCTTCATCCGCACAGCTCATTCCCCGATAAGAACTCTACGACCGTACAAGTGACGATTTTCATGCTTTTTCGTCCTGCAGCTTCGTTTTTCAATGAAAG